ACACACACACACACACACACACACACACACACACACACACACACACACACACACACACACACACACACACACACACACACACACACACACACACACACACACACGCGCGCGCGACTGAATTCAGTTTATTTGTAATAAATGATGTTGCATACAGCCATTGCCGGTCAACGATGCGTGCATGCAGTTGTTTTCGGGTGTTGGTTTGAATCTGTGGCGGCGGCGGTGCCTCTGGGCAACGTGGCAGGTTGCCAGCCAACTCGATCACATCACCCAGGCCACTGCGAGTGTGGCTGTTAGTGAGTGATGGGAGTGAGAGTGAACCACCCAGTAGGCCAACCAACTAACCAACCAACCAACCACCGCACAGCCCACAACCAACGGGCAGACGTGTCGATACTTGGGGGTTGCCTGAACGACGAGCTGTGCTCGCACAGCGACAGCCACGGGAGCGAGGGACACACGCACATCAAGACGTGCAGGAGAACACGGCAGAACACCAGTGGAGGCGTGCAGACTTGCGTCGTTAAACACGCCAAAGCCGTCCCTACAACACGCCGCGTTGCACGGCGACTGGGAAGGGTTGTTGCCTGCAAGCACCAAGGTGCAAGTGCGCGAGCACCCACCATCTCCACGTATCCGACCGTTACTGCCCCCGCTACGACTCGGACACGCGCAGCCAACCAACCTCCACCAAACAACTAAACACCCACATCCAAATATCGCGCGGACAACCACTGGTTGGTGTTGCCTGGCAAAGGACACACCACCCCACACCCCCGCGCGCGCTCACTGAACCATCCAGCCATTGGTCACCTCTCACTCACTCACACACTCTCTCCCTCCCCACTGCTGTGTGTGCGTGCGGAACAAGCCAGCCACCCGGTCAACAGCAACAACACTGCCAGCACCAGCACACACAGGCTGCACGTTTTTGTTGTTGTGGTGGTGTTGTTGCATGGGGGGACGGATTGCTGTCTTGCTTCGACGTCTTCTCATTTCCCCACGTCCTGCCAGCGTTGTTGCTGCTGCTGCCGCCCAGCGTGCGCACCTTTGCATCGGCCTGCCCATCACCGAGCCACATCTTGCATGCGCCTTGGCGCTGCGACCGTGAGTCCTTTCATCACTCGTGCCGTTGCATCACAGGCTCGAGATCACAGCAATTATTAGTTTGAGGGTAGCGAGCCAACACCCTCCGGCCCACAGCGTTCGCTAGGTGAGACGAGTGGCTGTGTGTGTGTGTGTGTGTGTGGCTGTGTGTGTGTGTGTGTGTGTGTGTGTGTGTGTGTGTGTGTGTGTGTCGCTGTGGGCGTTGCTGTGGACTGCGTCGATACGCACCCACGCGCTTGCCCGTTGTTGTGGCCACAGATCATTCGGTCTTGCGTGTTTCGTGTCGATCGTGTGTCATGCACCTCTGTTTGCGCGCGCGCCTTTTTGTTTCTCGTGGCGCGTTGCTGGGCAGTGCACCAGCGTTGTCGTGCTGCATGTCACGGCGGTTATGTGCATGTCTATGTGTTGTGTTGTGTGTGCGTGTGTGTGTGTGTGTGTGCGTGTGTGTGTGTGTGTGTGTTCATTGTTGTGTGCTGTGAGTCTTGTACCTCCTCCTTGTTCCCCCGGATTGCAGCGCACCCTGTGCTCATTCATTCATTCATTCCCTCATCACTTCTTTCCCCTTCCCCCCCCCCCTTCCTTCTCCTTCTCCCCTTCAACGTCCACCGTTACTCGCGGCCCATTTTGCATGTTGCTCCCCAAAGCTCACCCACCCACCTGTTGTATTGTGATCCCTCACAAGGCGACGACGACGACCACCACCACTACCATTTTCGCGTCGACCACCACCACCACCACCACGACTCCCCTCTTCCTTCCTGCCACCACGAGGACGGCAAAGGACAACAACAACGACGTCGCCGACGATTGCCATTGTCGGGCGTGCACTCGCTTCTCCCCGCACGCCTCCGTTTCGCAATGTGCAACAGCAGCAGAGCAGCAGCAACACGTGTATCCCTTTCCCTCCTGGACTCACCACCAGCAACAGCAGCAGCAGCGGCAGCAGCAGCAGTCTCTGATCACGAGCGTAAGCAAGGCAAATCCCGGCATCACCAGTGTTACGCCCACCACCACCGCCAGCAGAAGCAACACGCACACCCACGCCGCTGCCCGATCAGGCTTCGCGTGCATGAGCAACGCGATCAACCACATCGAGCCAGCAAGGTCAACTCCCCGACAACAGCACACCGCCCATCAGTCGCACACCCCCATTTGAGGCGCCCATCGTGCCTGCAGGCACGCACGCCTTTCCTTACTTCGCCTCCCATCCTGCCGATTCCACTCCTCCTCCTTCTCCTCCTCTGCTGCCTCCATCCCATTTCCACCACCGCCACCAGTAACGGCACGAGCCAAGGTCTGTCCGTCTGCGCATGTGTGTCTGTATCTGTGCGTCTGTGTCTGCGTCTGTGTCTGTATCTGTGCGTCTGTGTCTGTGTCTGTGTCTGTGTGTTTGGGTTACATTATTGAACTGTGTTGTGGGACCGCAAAGTCAAATCTGCATGACGATGTGCAACTTTTGAGAATTCAACACTTGTGTGCATCTTTGCTTTACAGCAATTGGAACGACAGGCTTTCCCGGCACCAACTCCACTCGTGACACGGGTACTTGCATGTCTATGTGGTTGCGCGCGCGCGCGCGTGTGTGTGTGTGTGTGTGTGTGTGTGTGTGTGTGTGTGTGTGTGTGTGTGTGTGTGTGTCGTCGTGTGTGTGTGTGTGTGTGTGTGTGTGTGTGTGTGTGTGTGTGTGTGTGTGTGTGTGTGTGTTGTGTGTGTGTGTGTGTGTGTGTGTGTGTGTGTTGTCGTGTGTGTGTGTGTGTGTGTGTGTGTGTGTGTGTCATTGGGGTGCCGTGACATTGAGTGAGTCAACCCGACCATTTCTCACGGCTGCATCATCTGCGTTGTGCTGCGACATGACAGGCCTGAGCGTTGGCGTATTCCAGGAAGAAGAGCACACACCGCCGTTTGTCTACTTTGCCATCGGCGCTGCCTCCTTCATTCTCTTTGTGGTACGTGTATGTGTGTGTGTGTGTGAATAGGTGCATGTTTTCCTCCCCTTCCCAACTCCATCACAAGACTAACGCCCCCCCCCCCTTCACCACGCCCGCCTTTCCACACGTTCATGCACATCCTTTTTGTAGGCTGTGGTCGCGATTGTGGTGATGGTGAGGAACAACCAATCCACACGGCGGGCAACGCGTGCACACCACGAACTGCGACAACTCCGAGCACAGCGACAAAGGCAACAACAGCAGCAACAACAACACCACCACCAGCACCAACAGCAGCAGCGAGGCGAGGGCAGACATCCACTTGCAGGTGAACAGCAGCACTGGATCAACGCATTCAACACGCATTCTGATGCAAACGAGGTTGTGCTGGAGGAAGGAAGGAAGGCTGCAACCATGCATGCGCTCTTGGGGACAGCACCAGTCACGGGGATGGACACAGGCACAACAGCATCGATGAGGTCTGCCCTGCTCATGCAACACGAGCTGCAAAGACCGCCCAAACGGCTCAATGACAGCAGACGGAGGCGAACACGCGAACACACACGAGGCGACCGGCAGTGTCATGACGCAATGCAACAGCAACGACAACAACCATGCGATTACCACCCCGACACATCGACGCCAACACTACTGCCGCCACCACATGCTGCGCGCATCTTCAGTGATGCAACGAACGACGTGCTGCTGCCGTCCTTCACAGCCTGCGCAGACCCGAGTCCTGCTGACGACGAAGGCGACCAGGAACGATGCCTGCAAGCACGAAACGCGGTACGTGTGTGCGTGCGTGTGTGTGTGCGTGTGTGTGTGCGTGTGCGTGTGTGTTGGGGTGCGACTGCGTTCTGCGCTGTTTTGCGTCAATGTGCGTGCTGTTTGCCCATGGTCCACGTCTGCAGCAGTGGTGTATTCCCCGAAGGTTCACATTCCCCCTCCCCTTGCTTCTCCGCTTGCGCTGCATGACAACACCCAGAAACGCCGCGTGAGTGAGGCGCCAACAGCATTCACGTGCGTGACAAACGCATCACGCCACAGCTCCGACACTTCCGTACGTCGTCGATATTTTTGCTTATGTTATTTGCCTGTGCGCCCATTGCATGCGCGCTTGCTTGTTTATGTCAGCTCTTGTGTGTGTGTGTGTGTGTGTGTGTGTGTGTGTGTGTGTGTGTGTGTGTGTGTGTCTGTGTCTGTGTGTGTGTGTCTGTGTGTGTTTGTATGTGCGTGTTTATATGTGTGTGCGTGTTTATATGTGTGTGCGTGTTTGTATGTGTGTGTGTGTTTGCATGTGTGTGATTCTCTCTCTTCTAACACAAATGTACGCACACATTCGCGCGCATCAGGTGTTTACGAAGCTGCCCAAGCTGTCCTTGTCAGGCAACGACGACTCATCACAGTCGCAGTCGCCCTCCCGTTCGCAGTCGTACTCGCAGTCCACGTCCATGTATGGCGGCAGCAATGACCCAGCGGTGCTCACCCAGTTTGTGCGCACAGAGCAGTGGATGATGGCGCCACTCCCAGAGTCAACCCCGCCCTCGTCGCCCAAACACAGCAGCGACAACACCCGTCGCAACGATGATGACAGGCACGATGAATGCGGCCGTCGTGAGCGCAACAACAACAGGCGTGAGCCAACAGCCGTTTCAGCGGCAGTGACATCGCCAGGTATCGCCCCTCCATCGTACAACCAGCCCGCAGTCACATACGAATCCCTGCGCGCATCGCTGAGGCGCACTGGCGACCATCGTGACGGTGACGACGACGATGACAATGGCAGCGATGGCATGCACGTGGCTGACGCGTACGACGAGCCAGTCGACGCCGCCTGCAACAATAGCCCACTGCATACACACCCTGCACCGCCACTCCCGGCCCTCCCAGACATGCTCTTGCCAACGCGCGAGCAGAAGAGCGATGGCGGTCACGCGACAGCCGCGCCCCCTTCAACGGCACAGCAACGGCGGCTTGTGCGCTCCGCGGCCACCAACGACCTGTCGTGCCTGCAGGCAACGCCAACAGCCGCAGCTTCAGTGCACATGGAAGGCGGCGAGCACGCAGCCATCCAGCACCGCATTGCAGCGGCGGAGGCATCTGAATCCGAATCCTCGCTTGCATCGTCTTCGCTGTCATCCCTGCCACCGTGGTCCAGCATCATCCTGGCAGTGCCCCCACTCCTGCAGTGGCAGCAGCAGCAGCAGAAGGAGGAGGAACAACAAGTGCACCAACAGGAGCAGCGCGATGGGTGGGTGACAAGCGCCCACACTGTTGTTGCTGGTGCTGATGACTTTGAGCACGACGATGATCACGTTGACGGGGACAGTGGCGGTGCTGGTGGTGGTATTCGTGCAGGATTTGAGGAGCAGGTTCAGCAAACGCGTCGCACCCTTCGCTTTCAACCGGTGTCAGACAAACAAGGTGTGCAGCCGCCACAGCCACCACGTGCGAGTGCCGAGGCCAGCCACGCAAGTGCTGGTATCATCCAAGCCGACATCGTCAACGACAGCAGCAGCAACGGCGCTGTGCACGATAGCTCATCTTCACCCCGCCAACACCAGCACCAACAGCCCTGCCAATCGCTCCACCACCACAGCCACGGCTACAGCCACGACCACGACCACGACCACAACCAACAGCACCGCCAACACAGCCGTCCCATTGAGCATGTGATTGGTGAGCGGCTGGCACACGTCCGCCCTGCTGTGCGAGCAAACCTCTCCACGCTCGCACTCGCCATCCAGCGCCACACCGCAACACGCACGTGTTCCCCCGCCACGCCCACAGCAACAGGTCGGCAAAGCACGACCACCACGACGACACCGGCACGAAAGACACCTGCAGTGACCAACGCAACGTCGCCTCCCCCGCCACCGCACGTGCAGCTGTCACAGTTCTCGCCGTCGCCGTGCAATATGAGAGGCACGCCTGCGACAGACAACACCTCCGTCAGCCGCGTGTGCGCGTATGCACCGTCCCCAAACGACATTGGCGGGTTTGGGCGCACGCTTTCCACCCCTCCAACCCACAACCAACGGCCCACCACCCTCGATCCGATTGCAGAGGTACGGGCGAATGCGTGCGTGCATGTGTGTGCAATGGCGTGCTTTTGTGTGCAGTGTGTTTCTGTGACCATGTCCTTGTGTGTGCATGTGTGTGCAATGTCGTGCTTTTCGTGTGCAGTGTGCATTCGTGTGTTCAAATGTGCTTGTGTGTGTGTGTGTGTGTGTGTGTTTCTGTGTCCATGTGCTTGTGTGTGTGTGTGTGCATTCGTGTGTTCAAATGTGCTTACTTTTCACCATCGGCAACACCCTCTTTACTCACAGCGTCTTTTGCTCATTGTACACAACCACACAAACACAAACACGTGTGCCCATCTCACGCATGCATGCTTCACTGGCATTGTCCAGGACACTCCAATCGATGGCCGTTCCCTCATGCACTGCAAGCCAAAGTTCGCCGCCTTCCCCGACATGCGCGAGCTCATGATGCAACAGGACCGCCCACGTGAGTCGTCTTTCATGGTTGCCTGCAAGCAAGCATGTTCACACATGCACGCGGAGGGTGTGGAAGGACCAAAAAAACATGCATCTATTTCATATACTCACGCTCACCCTGCTCCCTGCACACACTGCGCATGTAAAATACTGTCACAGGCCATCACACATCTCGCGTGTCCTCCGTTGCGCGTGTGTATGGCGTGAGTGGATGGAGGAAGTGGCCAGACAACAACAACAACAACAGCAGCAGCAACAACAACGCACAGGACGCACACGTCGCCGCCAGAAATGACGCACACACTGCAGCAGGTGTGAATGTGTGTGTGTGTGTGTGTGTGTGTGTGTGTGTGTGTGTGTGTGTGTGTGTGTGAGCACGTGTATGTGTGTGTATTTATTTATACATGTGCGCGGTTACTCTTCTCCTCTTCTGTTGCCCATCCAAGCCGCTCACGTGTTCTGTACGTCTCCGCATCCCCTCCTCCCTCCTCACCCTCTTTGTCTTTCAACCGCACGTGACAATGACAGATGCCCAGTTTGTGCCGTTTCGGTACCGAATGCAGAAGCTTGAGCGACAGCACGCCCGCAGGGGTGTACCCGGTGTTCAGACGTGGTGCGCGCTGTTTGAAAAAGTGTACAAGTGGGCAGATGGCGTGGCATCGGCAATGGTTGCAGGCCATAGCGATGGCATCAGCGGTGCCACGAACTTGGCAGATGAGCATGTGGTCACGGTCGAAAACAACGAGAACGCTTGCGAACCAGAAGTGCTGAGCGGCGCATCTGAGGGTGTGGAACTCGGTCTCAATGTGCATGGTGGTGTGAGCGGCAACGCTCAACCACGACAGCGCCCAGCCCAGCCCGTTGCCCTTTAATTCGTGTCTGTTTGTGTTTGTGTGTCTGTGTGCGCGTGTGTCTGGTGTGGTATGTGCGCGTGTGTGTGTGTGTGTGTGTGTGTGTGTGGTTGTATTCGTCTTGGTCCTTGTCTGTCAGTCTTGTCTAAATTGGTTTGACGATCATTCACATGTGTTATTTTCATACGTGTTATGTTTCCCGACTCTTCCTGTGTTGTATTCCTTCGCCCCGTGCTTCTTGTTATTTCCTCTCGCCATCTTTTTGCTTGCGTTGCGCGTGCATTGTGCCAGCACGCTCTGCTCCCATGCCCTGTTTGTATGTATGATATCCTTGGATATGTATGGCTGGAGTGTGACTTTCTCACATCAGCTAGAAGTATGAAGTCTGCAGTGGCAATAGAAAAAAACAGAGAAAGACACTTCTTTTGTTTCGTGTGTGTGTGTGTTGTCATTCCCACTGACGTCAAACGTTGTTTAGCTCCTTTATTCTCCCATCAGATCGAAGCGAGGAGTGAGAGTAACGTGATTGTCGGTACGACCAACCTGCTGGCAATGTACATCATGTGCAAAGTAAACATTTACGAACAGGAGCTGGCATCATGGTGTGTCTTAAAACATTGCAGTCGATATGCACGAATGACAGACAATAAAACATTCCATAAAGAAATGGTAACCATGCTTGTGTTCACATGTGCATGCACGTAATTTGATGAGTGAGAGGTGCGAATGACCTGATGACAACAGCCATCACCATGTCCCAATACAAAGGCGAAGAAGAAGAGGAATGCATCCAACGAAGATGGATAATGTGGCGCGGAAAACCCACATCGCACCATGTCACCACGTCACAGATGTGTACGATCAAGGTTCTCTTTGCGGAGGTGCACATTGAGAATGAATTGCAATGATGACCTCCTCATCAATCATCGAAACCTTTCATATTCGGGTGAGGGAGAAGAGCAAAAGTGTTGTGTTTCTCACCTTCTCCCTCTGTCCTGTTGTTTCATTCACAAAGAATGCATCCTTTCATCGTTCTGTTGTGTGTTCAGCCGAGATCCAGAAAGCAACTATCACGCTTGCTTGTTTGTGACACACACACACACACACACACACACACACACACACACACACACACACACACACACACACGCTCCCACAATGGACAAATCACAGCGTTTTATGTACATGGTACGTACAAGCATCATAAATCTCACAGGTCAAATCACCCGCAGCCCCGCTGGCAACATCACGCAGCAGCCCACCCCCATCTCCATCACTCTTCCCCATCAGCCAACGATGGCATGTCGTCTGTTGGCGGCGCCTCAAACAGCGCTGCCAATGTATCTGCAACACGCGCGTTGTGTGTTGTGTGCAAGGATAGAGAGTAAACGAACTCGTGAGTTGGATAGGGGAGGGGCACACAAGGACATGGGCACGTATCGCTTGTCATTGTTTCCTCACACACACGCACGCACACACACACACACACACACACACACACACACACACACACACACACACGCACACACACACACACACACACACACACACACACACACCTGCGTCGAGGCCCAGGTCGAGTTGCAGATCCGCAAGCAATGGCGGCGGCGCCGCCAGCGCATCGCCACCGTCTGCTTCCATCGTCTGGTCCACCACATCATCATCATCATCATCATCATCATCATCATCATCATCATCATCATCATCATCATCATCATCATCATCATCATCATCATCATCATCATCATCACCAATCACATGGCTCGCGTCTTCTTGCTTGGCATCCACGATGGGCGCCACCGCTTCCGTATCACTGGTGCCATCAGCCTCAGCCAGCATCGTCGGTGGCGGTGGTGGTGGTTCCATCCACTCCATGCCAGGGGGCGGGGCCACTGCCACGTCAGCATCCATGTCACCGTCACCACCACCACCATCGCCACCATTCAAGTTTGTGACTGCGGCACTGGGGCTGTTGAGATCGCGCTCAAAAGCATTGAGAGCATCAGGTGAAATGTCTTCAAGTTCAGACATGTGCGTCGTCACGTCACCGCTGCATGCAGGCAACAAGGGTCGTGTAGGTGTTGTGGAGTGGGCGAGTGTGCATGTGTGAGAGTGATGGCGTCGTGGTTTGGTTTGGAGAAGATGCGAGGTAATGGAAAAGGTCACGCAGAAGTCACACACACGCACACACACACACACACACACAAGCAACAAAGACACATAGGCACAGACACACAGACATACAGACACACAGACACAGACACACACACACACATACATACACACACCTGGACAGGGTGATGGTGTCTGCATCAAACGATGTGCGATGATCTTGATCACGAGCCCTGTCTTCGTCATCCACTCTCGCATCCGTCTCCAACAAGGGTGGCGGGGGCGGCTGTGCAATGGTCGCAAGCACTTGCGAATCCTCACTGCTCTCTTCCGGCAGCTGTGGCGGGGGCGGCGGAGCAAGCATCAACCCGTCATCACCATCCCCATCATGCTCACCACCATCGTAGTCGTCGTCATTCTCGCTCAGGAACACATCAGCGGTTTCAGACATGTTCTCGCTGCCACCATCACCCTTCTCTCCATCGCCATCAGGCATGATGTTGTCGTCCGCATCAGGTGCTGCCAGCGCCAGCGCCAACAACTTCTCGACTTCATCGTCATCGTCGTTCGCCATGTCCGCCCTGGTGAGTGGTGCAGCAACGTCCTCCCCAAGAATGCCTGCAGGCAACGCAGACGCTGCGTCAACGTGGCCGTTGTCCGCGCTGTCGGGCCAATCCGTGGGCGGAGCCAACACCGTACTGATCAAGGCGTCAATGTCGTCATCATCCTCATCATGATCATGGCTGATATCACCATCATCTTCATGATGATGATCATCATCATCATCATCACCATCATCGTGCAAGTCCAATTCCAGTGTTGGCGGTGGCGGCACGAGCAACGCGTCAACATCAGCAGTGAGAGGTGCAGCTGCTTCCGTGCACAGTGGCGGCGGTGGCGGCGTCCTTGTTTGTGCTGGTGCTGTTGCTGCTGGTGCTGTTGGTGCTGGTGCTGTGGAAGGCGTCTGAGGGGCGGACGGCTTTGCGCCAGCATCGTGTTTCTTGTCTTCATCTTCTTTGCCCTGCCGCTGCTCTGCACGGCCATCGCCTTCATCACCATCATCGTTGCGCTCGTCATGCCCATCACCCGTCGTCGTTCCTGTACCGCTCTCGTAGACCACCAGTTCATCCCCTTCGTCTGTTTCTTCCGCTGCCCCGTGACCTTCCTCATCCTTCTCTCCATCCTCGTCTCTCTTCTCATTTTCCTCTTCATGGTCATCATCGGCATTGCTCTGCGACACATCAACATCGTCGTCGTCCAGGCTGACAGATTGCCACGACAACCGCCCCTCGCGCAACGCATCCAGCCGCTGCTGCTGCGGTGACGTGGGGTGGTCGCCACCTGCTGGTTCGGTCGTGGTTGCTGCTGATGTCGACGTTGTTGCTGTCGTTGGTGCCGGCGTGTTTTCGTCCTTCCCCGCCAACAGCGCCCCTGCAGAAGCAGTGCTGTCCTCACGATTATCGCCAGTCGAAGGTGCTGGTCCCACACCCCCTCCATTATCACCAGCGTCATCGCCAGCGCCATCACCAGGTGTGGGAGCAGCGCTTGCACGCTGCGACTGGTACGTGGACGATGATTTGCTGTGCCGAAGGCTCCGAGCTTTGCTTGCACGCATCATCACGCTCGCCTTGCGTTGTATGGTCCATCGCAACGTCCCGCCCTCATCTTCGTCATCATCATCATCATCAACAGCAACGATACCAGCAGCACCGTCGCCACCATCATCACTTGCACCGGTTGCTGGTGAGCGCTGCGCTGATGGCTGTGTGCTGGTGGTGTTCTGTTGCTCTGTTGTCTCGTCATCACGCACCGGGCTCCCACCGCCATCGCCAACATCACCCGCGGTACCATCACCCTGCTCCGCGCCTGGGAGCACGCTGCGTCGGGCCTGTGTGGGCGTTGCCTGTGCAGACGACATTTCGTCCTGTTTCACCCGAAGGTCCACGAGGTTTCCGCGATGTTTCTCGAGTCCGGAATGCAGCACGGGCTCAGAGATCTTCAGCCGCCTGTGGTCGTTGCGGGTGTTGTGTGTGTGTGTGTGTGAGTGAGTGAGTGTGTGTGTGTGAGTGAGTGAGTGAGTGAGTGAGTGAGTGAGTGAGTGAGTGAGTGTGTGTGTGTGTGCAAGTGACAGCGAATGGCTACGATTCTTGAAGTGGTTGGCTCTTCACAAAACAAAGCAGCACAGCATTTGGTGCCACGTGTGTTCACCTGAGCAGCATCTGTGACGGTTCACACGCATAGGACATGCCCATGAATCGGTCTTCATCCGTCTCAACCTCCGCCCAATCGAAGAAGTGACGCAATGTAGTGCGCAGCTGCGGGTGGTGTTGTTGTCGTGCGAACAAACAGACACATCAAGCAAGTCAGAAACGAGAAAAAAAGTGCATGCTCACACAGATACACATACACGGACACACACAGATACACACACGGACACACACACGGACACACACACGGACACACACACGGACACACACACGGACACACACACACACACACATACACGCACACACGGACACACGGACACACACAGATACACACACACGGACACACACGGACACACACACACACGGACACACACGCACGCACACAACCAATCAACAACATCTCTCACCTGGTGTTTGTGCCACCACGCCTTTGGTGTTGATTCCCGCTTCAGATTCAACTTCTCAATACCCCAGCGGTCAACATGCTTCGTGCTCGTGCGGTGTTGGCTGACAGGGCGGCGATGGTGTTATGGCAATGCGTTGGGGGGGGAGCGGGACAAAGCGTAAGGATGGGATGGAGAAAGCACGATGTGCGTGTGTGTGTGCTTGTGTGTGTGCTTGTGTGTGTGCTTGTGTGTGTGTGTGTGTGTGTGGTTAATCAGAGGGTGATTCGCATTGTGGTTTTCCGCACAACACACACACATGTACGCATGCGTACGAATGCGTACTCACGCTTGGATGGACTTGAGCTGGTTGTACATCATGCGCAGCTTCTCAAAGTTGACGAGGCCTGACGGTGGCGACGGTGGAGGTGGTGGAGGTGGCGTGCAGAGAGAAAATGGTGATTAGCAACTCGCAGACACACAGGCACACAGACACAGACACACAGACGCAGACACACATATACAGAGACGGACGCAAGGAGAGGCACGGACAGACACGCACACAGACAGACACAGATAGACACACAGACACACACCTACACTGCGACGCACCGTCAATCTTTGATTCGTTTCCCTCGTGCATGAACGCGAGATCCTTCATCAGCAGCGGAAAGAACGGCACAACGGGCGGTGTGCTTGCCATCTGAACAACAATGACACGGGCGAGAGGGTGACAGAAATGAGGTGTGGGGTGGGGGTAGTGGCGTGACCAGGAAAGAAGAAAGTGCATCGTGAGACAGCCAGCTGACCACGTGAGGGTGTAAATTAGTCCACACACACACACACACACACACACACACACACACACACACACACACACACACACAC